CTCTCCTCTCCAACCAGAAAGGCCTAAGGCAAGCTCAGAGTGGGAATCAAGATGACTCATGACTCATTCTAAACAAGGGAGAAAGGAAGAGAGGTTTTTTTTTTTTTTTCCTACAGTGAGGAAGGCAATTTAGTGTTAATTGTTAAAAGAACTCTTGATGCTACTTCAGGAAGTTAGCCTCTTCCATATCTTCATTCTGAGGCTGTCTTAGGACGGGACCACCTACCAACATGACCAGAAGAGAAAGTGAACCACAGAGCAGGATGGATCACGTAGAAAGTAAAGGAGAATAGGGGCTGGGGAGGTGCTTGTCCGCTCGCATCAGGAACTGAGGTTGGACCCCAGCATCAGCATAGAACATCAGGCTCAGAGATACACATCTGTAACCTCAGGGCTGGGAAGGCTGAGGAGGCAGGTCCCTGAAACCCACTGACCAGTAAGCCTAGCTGAATTGATGTACTTAGGTGCAGTGAGAGACCCTGTTTCAAAAAGTAAGGCAGGCGTTGCTTAGCAGTTAAGAGCACTCTGGAAGACAACCAGGGGTTCAGGTTCTCAGTCCCCACATGGTAGCTAACAGCTGCCTGTGACTCCAGTTCCAAGGAATATGGTGCCTTCTTTCATGTGCTGAGCATGTGTACATGCACAAAAGATAAACTTAAAAATAAAAGTCAGGCGGAGAGCATTTGAGAAAGACACCCACTGTTGACCTCAAACCCAGGAACAAACCCAGGAAGGATGCTTTACTCGTGGGCGGTGTTTCTATGGTAAACAGCTTGCTGAGTACATGGAGACCCCTGTGGGTACATAGGAAGGCCCAAGAGCTACCTCTTTAGCTGTGCAGAACTTAGTTTTCTTTCCCAAAAGCCTTCGAATGAGTTCTGTTTTAGCATCTCCAGCCAGGGAGGCAGGCAGGGTGGTTGGGAGGATCCCTGAGGGTTGAGGAGAATAGCCTCACTGGCCCACATAAAAGGATGGGCAGGTGAGCAAGCATGTGTGCCCGCCCCTCCCCCTCCCACAATGTGTGTTCCTAAGGAAGGCTGGTCTTGGCTAAGAGGTCAAGGAATGGAGAGTCTGGGGTCAGGAGGCTGAGCGAGATCAGGAAGCTGTGAAATCAGACCAGTCCTGAGGATGACTCAGAGAGCTCAATACTAGACGCTTTGGTCCCCACAAAGAAACTGAAGGCTGGCTGGTGGTGGATCTTTACCAAGAAGCCCATGGCTACTTGTGCCCTCTCCAGATGCCTTTGGCTAAGGAGGAGAAGGGGAAGCAGGGCAACCCACAGAGACCTGCTCCGAGGTAATGAGCGGAAATAGAAAATGTAATTAACATGTCTGCCCTGAGAAAGGAGAGCTAACTCTATTACCCTCGGCCTCCCTGCTTCCATTATGAATGATTGCGTTTCAATTATGATCCCCAAAGTATTTCCTTCAGGAAATATGTCAGGGTTCCGCAATAGGAAAGAAGGAAATGGAGCCATGAAAGTTTAATTTATTGTGGTGACTGCATTTTAAAAAGGAGAAAGAACAGGACTGCTGAGGACTGGAGACAAATACAGCACGGGCTCACCTCCTGTGAACAGGGAGTGCTTGTGGAAAAGAAGCCCGGCCTGACTGGAATCTGGTCTGATGACAAAGGATGGCAATGGAGAGGGGACCTCCACACCCTCCAAGACACCATGTGTACTCTGAATCTTACTAGCCTGCTTTGTGGGCCCTTTGAGACATTCAGGAAGGAGAGCACTTGGTTAGCCGGTGACCATTGGTCTGGCCCCAGCACCCTACAGGAAACCGGGCTGGATGTGTAAGGTGTGTCCAGTGCCCTCTGAAATCTCAGAGTGTACTAACGGTAAAGAACTGGCAGCTAAAACGGCCGGGATAGAAACTGAACGAAAGGGCTCCCTCCTACAGCAATCAATAGGTGGGGAGTCAGCCGAGGAAATCAATAGGTTACCAGGCTTCTGACTCATGCTGGTCAATGGTCCTCTCAGGGGAGACATCACCTCCCATCACCTCCACAGACTGCAGAGGGGCTAGAGACTCCTCCAATGCTGCATTCATTCATTTATTCATTCATTCATTGATGCTCCCACTCTAAGTGGAGCTGGCAATTCCATCAAGAATAAGCCCCACCTGCACCCTGAGGACAAAACAGGCTGCTGCAGGAGATGTAATCAGGAAGTCAAGATAAATAAGGAGGCGGCTAAACCAGAGGCTAAACCAATGGAGCTTCTGGGATCTTGGCTACAGTGGCTCAGGGGATTCTCCACAGGAGAAAAGCAGGTTTCTGACAGAGAGGGAGGCCTCCTCAGCAATTCTTAGGGAGGCTAGCAGGTTTCCTGGGGGATAAATGGGAACAGGGTCCTGCAGGGAAGCCAGAGACTTCATGCTTTCAGGCTGCCTGAATTGCAGTCCGGAGGGGCAGGAGAGAGACTTGAGTGTCAGTCAGGTTGAGGGGTGGGAGGGGTAGAGGGCAGGGAGCATGGATTTAACCTGGACTGTACTGGAATTCTCAGGGAAGACTTCCTTCAGCATGAGGGTGGTATTAGGAAACTACATGAGGAAGAGGACTTACTCGCGGAAGCCAGCTGACTGGAGGGACAGAGCCTAAAATCTGGAGTCCCACAGGAGGCCAGCATCAGGCAAGAGGGATGTTCCAGGGCTGAGCAAGGGAGTGGGAGAATAGCCCTAAAGAGGGTGTCCCAGGGACTTTGCTGAAGGTCAGGGAAGGTCAATGGAATATGTGCTGAGCTTTGGCTCACAAGCACAGTCTGCTACAATCCACACTTCGATGCAAACACCTAGAGCATGATGGGATTGGGGATCCATTATTTACTTCTAAAGCAGGAACTGACTCATTAGGACCTTACCCTATCTGTTGTATCAATGTACATTACCTTATTCAATCCCCAAGACAGTTCTGCAAAGCCACGAGCAGACAAGAAAGCTGCTGCGTCTAGCCCTCTGGGTCAAGATCAAATGTAAAGACAAGAAAACCAAAGGAGGGGTTGGAGGGATGACTCAGTGGTTAAAAGCACTGTTTTTTTTTTCCCCCCAGAGGACCCCAGCACCTACATACAAGCTCCTACAAGTTCAATTCCCAGCACCTACATACAAGCTCACAACTGCCTGTAACACCTGTCCCTCTTATGGCCTCTGAGGGAACTAGGCAGCAGACTTGTACATCCGTACACATAAGACTGAATAAATAAATATAATAAAATAATATAAACAAGAATGGAGTGAGCCACCACACCTCACAATTATTTAAAAATGGAAAGAAAGCCAAACAAAGTTCAAGTTTGTTTAAAAAAAAAAATAGCTCCCATACCCACATGGTAGGGATGGTAACCCCAGCACCTGGGAGTTAGAGGCAGGAGAATCAGGAGTTCAAGATTATTCACACTACACAGAGTTTGAAGCCAGGTATGGTGGTACACACCTTTAATCCCAGCACTCAGAAAGTAGAGGCAGGCGGATCTCTGTGAGTTCAAAGCCAGCTTGACCTACAGAGTGAGTTCCAGGACAGCCAGGGGTACACAGAATTTGAAGCCAGCCTGGACTACACAAGATCCTTATCAAAACCACCACAACAAAAAGATGTTACATTCCATTAATTCTGGAGTTAAAAACAGAACTTCTGTCTTTTAAAATTTAAAGCCAGGGTGTATTTCCTGTCTTCACTCCTGATGCCCTCCTCTTTCCTCCTCCTCTGCTCCCCTGTCCCTTCTTTCTCTTTACAAGGAGTTTCTTAGGAGCCAGAACAAACAGGAGATCTTAAAGATGAGGTGTGTTGACATAGTCAGGATCTCTGCCAAGCAGAAGAGAAACACAAGCCTGCTGTCAGGAAAGAAGGGCTGGGCCTGGTAACTTCTGATCTGTAGCACAGGAAATGTCTCCCCACCTTCTCCCCTCCTCCCCCTCCCTCCTGCCCCAGGTCTCCCAGGAGGCTATGCAAAGAAAGTAGCACTTTCTGGGAGAGCAAAGAACAATTTCCCAGCCTCACAGGAGAAACACCCACCCGGATCCTGCAATAATTCCACTATTGCTCCTTCCTTGATTTGCTGCCTACAGATTTTCCTGGTGGCCATCAAAGCCTCTTTTCCTGATGACTCTCTGCTCACCTCACTTCGACCTTATCTGGCTCATTCCCAGCCCACACAGGACTCAGCACAAGGCCACAAGGGTGCAGGTGTCCTGTGCAGAGGAGAGCCACCTGAAATTTAGGAACCAGCCTGCACTCTCCTTCAGAGATAGGGGGTTCAGCCTTGAACAGGAACAATGGAATAGTCTAGTTCCTGTCCCAACAGCAGCTCGGGTCACTCACTCTGTGCAGAGGGGAAGCGGCCGGCCATATAAAAAGACTCTGATAAACAACTAAGTCACCATTCACAAGAAACTCTAATCTTAGTACAGTTCAAGGGAAAGACAGACAAACAAACAACACTTCCAGAACACACTCAGGACTCAAGCCTCCAGCCAGACACTCTTAGGATTATATTTTTTTTTCTAAATACTGTCACCCAAAAAGTTCAAGTCAGAAAGTCTCTGTCCCCTTGGCAACCCCAGCATATCAGTAATAATAGAAAATGAACAATTGTAAAATAAGTAGTAAAAAAAAATAATAATAGTAAAAATAGCTACAATTTAGGGTAGCCTATTAAGTTCTTAACATTTATATTGTTTTATTTTAAACATTACCCATCTCTTCATGAAATCCATATAGCATTATCACAGCAAAAGAAATGAAAAGGTTAAATTAATTGAAGTCATGCTGTTAATAAGAATCAAGTCAGCTGGGAGGTGGTAGCGCACGCCTTTAATCCCAGCATTCAAGAGGCAGAGGTAGATGGATCTCTGTGAGTTTGAGGCCAGCCTGGTCTAAAAAATAAGTTCCAGGACAGCCAGAGCTACACAGAGAAATTCTGCCTCAGAAAACCAAAAATAAAAAAAGGAACATCAACTCATAATCAGGATGCTATCTACCCACGTTTTCAGATTTACCTCCTCTTTTTTTCTCTCTCTCCTGCACGCGCTCTCTCTCTCTCTCTCTCTCCTTTCCAACTACAAAAACTGTTTCTAAAGTTGAAGGTTTGTTTATTTCTGAATCTTTTACATCTCAAAGCATCTCAAATATTTGAATATCTTACGTAACAAATATTGATTAACGTGCTGAGGGAGACAGTGAGTTTTTTGTTTGTTTTTAGTGCAGTGAAAACCCTGACCTTTCTTTCAAGAACCCCCATATATGTAAATGAGGTTTTCAGAAAATGCTGTATTGTAAATGGGATTTTGATACCCACTTGAGATTCAGGTGATGGAAAGCATTTTTGCTAATGTAAAGCATTGTCTCCTCTTCCCTAAGAAGCTCAGTGATAGGCCTGTGCCTTTCCTTCACAATCACCCTCCTCCCTTTCCTATACAAGCTGTTGCTCTAGGAAGAACTACTGGTCAACCTTCCATTCTGCACCGGGAACAGAATAGACTCGGGAGGGACATTTTCAACTGTCACAAAGGGCTCTGGGTTGCTAAAGCTTTGTTTCACTGATAGTTGGAGTACTTTTGCCTCTGCCATTTTCTGTGTTTTGTCTAACTGTCCAGAGAACAGAAAGAAGACCTTGCAAGTGACCCAGTTTTGGTTCATTCTACTGATGACTGGGACAAGATGATAATAACAAGATTTCTTCTTATGTCTTGGGACACTTTGTTCTCCTGTGGCTCCCACTACCATTCTGCACCAGCCCCTCTAGATACAAATGATGACTGAATCCTTACAGCAACTTAGACTTAAATCGTTTTCCAATTCTAATAATAATCTATGAATATCTTTAGAGGAATATTTAAAAAGCAATGAACTAACAATTGGCTTCTATATAGTATTATAGAATTGCTAAGTTGCTTCCTCATTCAAATTCCTACTTGATGCTATTTTCATTATACACACAACATGGCAATTATAGTTGAACAGCCTAGAGACAGATTAACTGGTGTTGTGTACCCATGTGTCATTAACTTTACTCTGTGGTTTTGGTAAACTGTCTAATTTGTCTGTGCCTCCGAATATTGTCAACTGAATGAGGTGAAGATGTGCTCCGAGGCTTGGATAAATTCTCACCTATGATACATACCTAGTATCATTATCCAAACCTGACCAATTTTTTTTTAATTTTTTTTTTACTGAGCCAGGCGGTGGTGGTGCACGCCTTTAATCCCAGCACTCAGGAGGCAGAGGCAGGTGGATCTCTGTGAGTTCGAGACCAGCCTGGTCTACAAGAGCTAGTTCCAGGACAGGAACCAAAAGCTACGGAGAAACCCTGTCTCAAAAATCAAAAAAAAAATTTTTTTTTTACTGACCACTTTTCTTATGACTGTATTGTTCATATGCCTGTCTTGCTCCTAGAATGTGATCTTGATGTAGACAAGGACCTTGCCTGAATGTCTTGGCCCCTTATATTTCCAGCCTCTAGTGCAGTGGTACCTTGGATATAAACTAAATAGAAAGCCAATAAATAGGTCTGCGAATGGCTTAGGTTCTGGTTTTAGTCACTCACTCAATTTTTACTCAGTCCTGTTCTGGACAAAGTAAAACAGTAAAATTGTCCTTGGATTTAGGTTGATTGGTTATGTTTCAGGGACATAGATGTCTATATTGTTTGGTTTGAGTCTTGTGTAGCAATGATGTCAAGAGTTGATCCCCCAGGTAGCTAATGATTCTACAGTTTGGGCTTCAGAATGATGAAGACAAAACCCAAATGGCCACACTCTGAAGCAGAATCCTTATCCAGTAGAACTCTCACATCCAAGGGAGCAATCTGGTGCCAAATTGCTTTCATGGAGTCAAAGAAGACATTTTCCAGAATACTGTTGCTTGGAAGTGAGTGAAATTGCTTATATATATAGAAAATCAAAAAAAATGTATCTGTTGTCCATAAACTCTAGGGAAGCCTGTGCTCCTCCTAGACCACTTACAAGGACATTGACCTGCAGACACTTTAGAAGAGGAGCAGGTACTAGGGGGATGGTTTATTATTGGACCTTTGTGGCAGTAGTAGACAGACACTCATTAGCAAGTAACTTAGGGGGTTTCATTTTTCTCATTTTAAATAAGCATGTCATCTAGAATAAAGTTGGTCACAAAAAATATAAAATTCAGCTCAAACATGTGTGTGTGTGTGTGTGTGTGTGTGTGTGTGTGTGTGTGTGTGTGTGTGTATACCAAAGGAAAATGTCAGGTGCCATCCCTTTGGCATTGTTCATCTTGAGGCAGGGTCTCTCACTTGCTTAGAACTCGGTAATTGGACTAGAGAGATGGCCATTGAGCCCCAGTGATATACACATTGCTGGCTGCCAGTGGTAGGGTTACACATTCATACCCTGCACCCCTATTCTTAAAGGTGAGTTCTTAGGTCCTTTTGCTTGCAAAGCAAGGACTTTTTTTGCGAAGCTTAAACTTAAAAGAAGGCAGACATACGATGTGCTTCTGGCAATACCAGGTCTGATTCATGTCCGGTCTATTCATGCTGCCTTTTTAAAGCCCTCACTTGTCTGATTATTTGTGTGTGGTCCAGAGAATCAAGTCCAACGCTTTACTTTTGCAAGGCAAGTATCCTTGGAGCTCCATAGCCAATCCTTTCCTTTTGTGACTTGCACATATTTCACTTAACATGTAACATTTGTACTTATCCACAAGGTACAAAATCAAAACTATATATATGTGTGTGTGTGTGTGTGTGTGTACATATATATTATATAAAAAGTTGTAAATATGTATATATATATGCACACATGATATGTGATGATCAAATCAGGATAATTAATATTTCCATATCTTCAAATATTTCTATGTTTGGCAACTTCATACACTTCTGAATTATTTAAAATGTGTTTTCCATCAATCCCATAGATATTGTGCTCCTGTGCATATAGAATTTTCCTCAAATGCATTTTCTGTTATCCTCCCTCTCATGCCCCCATCTTTACTCTAGTCACCTCAATTCGAGAAAGCCATACCTTCACAGTAGCAACTTCATGTTTTATGATGGCTATCACATGCAAAAGGCATATGTTCACTGTGCACCCTGCGAAAGCCAAGGTCCTACAGCTATCCCTGGCATCCTCAAAAGGCCTCCAGAGTCACTATGTCCAGATTCTTATTGCTAAAAAACGATCCCCGGGCGGGTTGGCGGAGCCCGCCATGAGAAAGCGGCTACAGGAGGGCATGCGCAGCGCCCATGGTGGCGGCAGGTAACAGACATGTAAACACAGGAAATAGCCATAAGTATTTATTAAGGAAGAGGGAGAAAGAAAGAAAAAAGAGATAAAAGGAGAGAGGAGAGATAAAAAAAGGAGAGAGACAGAGAAAACGTGTGCGCACGCCAAGGAAGCAGAAAGAGGAAGGGTCCCAAGATGGCGATGGGTAGGTCAGAGGTTATTGGAGTGGGCGTGGCTAGGGCAGGGACCAAAAGAATAACACAGATAGCTGGGGTTAGCACCTGCCCTGACATTTTTGTTTGTCTTTGTTGTTGTTGTTGATGATGATGTACCAGGAATTGAACTCATGGCCTCACATATGCTAGGCACGTACTCTACCAATGACTTAGATCCCCTGCTCAGGCTTTGAGCTGTTTGTTGACTTCGTCTCAATTCTACCCTGTGTTCTCTGTCATTGCTTATTCACTTAGCAAATATGTGGGGAGCTTTCCTGCCAGGAACTATTAGTACAAGCAGGAATCTTATTGAATGAGGTAGAAATAGAGTTTACATATGCTCTCCTCCAAATAATATAGATAAATAGGTTATGGAGATGAGGATATAATTACATATATAGAAACATAATGGGTATTGCTTATAGAGGCCAGTGCCAGGAAGTACACCAGATGTATTTTTATTCAATCTCTAAAGAATCTTGCAAGGTAAGTGTGGCGTGTCTACATTTCAGCATGGGGAAAAGCTGGAGCATAGGAACGGTGAGTACTTTACTGGGCGCCCATAACAAGCCAATGTGGACGGTTACATTTCTAAGTTTTGTTTGTCCTTTATTTGATATGTGAGCTGCCCTCCACGCAAAGACATAGCCCCTGGCTCTTCAGAGGGATTGTGATTCCCATGCCAGATGATGTTAGGATCAACCAGCTGCTTATTAATTTCATTGTAAGGATTTAGTTAAACCCTCGGTGCATTTTGGGTTAAAGATAATATGCTTAGAAGTACATGTATTAATCAATTTTCCAAAAGCAACATTGCCCTCATCTGTAGATACTGTTTCCTTTTGGAAGTCTTTGACAAACTCATACATGTATATAAAACATTCTGCATGCTCTCCCCACCTACCCCCTTCTATCTCCCTCACTGCGCTCTCTCTCCTCCCTTCAAGTCCCTTCCCTACATTCCCTCTGCTTTGTGCCCCACTGCTTGTACCCAGGGCTGTCCCTGGATCTGCACATTTGGAAATATTTATGAAAAAATGATTGCTTCACTGTTGGCATAACAACTGAAGGCAGTGACTAACCTTCCCCCAGAATCCACCAGTGCCAACAGTTCACGAGGGATGGCTAGGGCTCCAGGAGCTCTTCCTAGGTCTGGCCTGTGATTGGCTGTTGACAGGCCCAGTCTTGTGCAGGAGACTGCAGCTGCTGTGAGATTATGTTTGCCATGGCTGTGTCACATCCTGAAGATAGCCTGGCCCCGCCCTTCTCCCTATCTCCTGGCTCTTGCCTTCTTTCCCCTCCCTCTTCTACAATGTTCTCTGAATCTCAGAGTAGGTAATATAAATGTTTAGGACATCAATTCACCTCAGCACATTAAGCAGCCATGATTACTGCAATGACTCCATTGACTTTGTCTTCTAGACCATAATTCTGAAGTGGGAGATGTCACTGTTTTCATAGTCTTCCTGTGGCAAACCCCGAGACTGCATGACTAGTCTGTCTATTTTAATTTCTATGATGGCATGAAGGCTTATATTGATTCATTCAATCTCACTTTCCTTTTGAAGGGAAAATTAAGAAGGGAGAGATTTTGCCGAGACCTGCCTGGGTTCCTTCATGTCTAACTCAG